AAAATTAATGCAATACAAAAGTATGTCCATTTCTTACATATGCTTTTGTATTACAGTGACAGAGTGATGTACCTAACCCTGGAAAACCTCAATAATTGGCCTACCACAGAAAGTTTGTTATCCTGGATCTGAATCAGTCACTTGATTTGGTCAGGTGACTGTTAAGTACTTCATTCATTATGCTTATTTTATATAAGGGTTTCACATCAAAAGCTTGAGCAGTTTCAAGGTAGTTCATGAGCTGCTATCAGGGAATCTTGACTCTGTGAGAGGTCTAGGTAGGTGGGAAGCTGCTGTGCTCAGACTTGACATTAGTTTTTGTTAATAAATTTTGGAAGTCATTGCACTCCTGAGCTATCTAAATCTTTCCTCAAAGAATTACAGACAAATAACCTGGTTTTTAAGTTTATTTGGTTCTGTTAAAATCACATTTAAAATTCTATTCTCAAATCCATTTTAGGTAGTAACTATTGACCTAGACATTTTATTTCTTGAACTTTTTGTCATTTGTACAAATCTTAACTGTCAGCTTGTTTTTGTTTTGCAACTTCAGTCAGAGCTATTTGCTTTCAGGATTTCCCTTTGTTCCAATTAGGGCCTTTATTTCCCAAATTGTTGGCTTGTTTCACATGCCTGTCTTCCAATAGCGCTGAGACTTTGGTGTCTTCAGCACCATAGTTGGATTCCTAGTTAGGCTGGATAGAGAGGTTTGGTGAGGGAGTTCTTTGGTAATTTGAATTCAGTTCTTACATGAAGTAGGATTTACCTTGTCCCTAAGTTGTCTGAGCAGTCAGTGGTCTCTATTGTGCAGGGATGTTCTCCCCCCCCCACTTTGGTTCTTTGTTGTTGGTCATGAGCCCTGGGTAATTTTTTTCCTACTTTCCAGTTTCTACAATTTAAATGAAAAACAGTTCATCTTAGAATTTTCTGAGAATATCTTCTCCAAGTTAATTAAGTGTGCCCTTCATCTTATTTTCCTTCTCTAAGGCTTTTACTGATAAGATAATCCTGTAATCTCAGTTCTGGGAAGTCTGAAGTGGATTACTTGAGCTCATCTCAAGGATGACCTGGGCATTGGCAAGAACCCAGCTTAGAACACCAAAGCTCTTTACATCCATCCTGTTGCTTGGACTTCTTACTAGTACAAAATTTTCATCAAATGCTAAGTGATCCTTGGCTAACAGTTTAAAAATGAACTTCTAGGTTTATTTATTTTCTCTGGTCAGGGTTGTTGGAGTTTCCCACCCTGCCTGAAGGGTAAAACCCCCGGGGTGCAGTGTTCCTATCTCAAAGAGGGAAGAAGGCATATGGATGTGTTCACAGAAACATTGCAGTTGCTTCACAGTCTCTAGATTCTTTCAGTATGGAAGAGGCGGTTGGCTGCTGGAAGATCAGACAATCTTACATTGTCATCAGGCTAAGTCCTTTGTTCATTACTCATATGTCTACAAGTCACTTAGGCCACCACATCCTCTGCCAGGGAGATTTTGAAATCCTCTATGCTCACAGAGAATATTCAATTTTCTTAACATTTGCTCATAAATTCTTAAAAAGTTTATTTCCTCTTGTTTTATGCCCCCTACCACCCCACCTTGTTAAAAAAAAAGCCGCTGGTATTTAGTAGAATTTTAGAAAAGTAACGGGGTCTCTGTGTGTTATAGGTACAGAGTGGTTAGTGGTAAAAGCTTAAAGCAGGTGAATTAAAATGTTGGCAGCTCATTATCCTTTTAGGATTGTAGTTTACTATAGGAACACTCTCTTGTTAGACTGTTAGGTAACTTTGATTTTAGTTCTAGGTAGACCTGTAAGTGCTACCAATCCCACTTATCCTCAAGCAGTGAGCTTTCTAGTTGCTGTCCTGAGTCAATTTTGTATCTTGGTTTACTGGGTATCTACTACCGGGTGAGTTTATTTCTCTTCCTAGAGTTCTGTTTCTCCTTTTTAAAAATTCTTTCCCTAAACTTAGGTTGTATTACAGAGTCAGACCTTGTCACCATATTTACCCTTTGTGTACTGGGATGACAATTGCTGCATTGTATGTGCTTAACAAGGTAGAATTCAGTGTGTTGTGGAGATGGCTGTACATCCCGAATAAGTTTGTTACTAGGTTTTATGTTCTATATATTATAAACTTGTTTAGTTTGTGTGCTCTTATACCTAGAATATTTCTTTAGTTAAGACTACCTTCTGCTTTGTATTCTGTGTTTCAGATGTTGAGGTATTAGGATTGAACCAGAAGGATTGAACCTAGTATCTAGCATAGTATTTGTGTTGATCTATACACATAATGCCTTTTTTGGTTTGGGGCTTGTTTTAATCTGCATTATTAAACGCTAGGTTCATGTGTAACACAGAAATAATGAAGGTGATTTATTTTGGAGCAATTTCCTAACAGTGCTGTGGATTTTAGTTTTTTTTTTTTTAACCAGTGTTGGCAAGGCTGAAAAAGAAGGGTCTATCTTTTATTTACTGCTGGCCACGTTAAAGCTGTTAACAGTTTAGCATAGTTTAGAACCCTTGTCTGAAAATTTCCTAGGGTAAAATGATTCTAACCAGCCAAATACACAATTGTGCAAATTCAATTTGCTATTATTGAAATTTGCTCTCAGTTGCCTGTAATATAGTAATTGGGGGTCAGGTTGATTATAATATACTTCATAGAGGCTGTCTACTGTGTGTGAATTATAAGGCAGTGTTCGCCGTGGTTCTTTAGTTCATATGAACTCCCATTAGCTATGCTAATGTATTAAAGATATTTTGCTCAAAGATAGAATGAGTATGTTCTGTAGGGTGTTTTGTCTCCAAGAAAGACAAAGGTATACACTGTATAAATATTTTCTTTCCATGCTCAAGAAAGGAGACTATTCAGAAGATAGTATTACGTGGCCATAGTTGGGAGTACACTGACTTGTGCAGTTTTTAAACTTTCTACAGGCAGCATAAATCCTATTGTGTGTACCTTGACCGTTTCTTACCAGTGACATGAGTCATCCATTGCATTATGAATTGATTAACCACTGGCTGACTGAAATTGTCTTACTGCTGAAATCTTGAGTTGTGCTGGTTATGTATTTACTCTGTTGTCCTGAACACCTTGGAGTATTAAGGATATCTGGTTATGGCGGCCTTATTGTAAATGGCCTTAGGTAGAGAGTCATGGGATCCACGGAGCTATGTGATTTAGGAAGGTGTAGGGTGTACTAGTAAGTTCAGGGGAAAGACCTTAGGAAATTTTATTAGGGCTGGGTTTGTGCCTATGGAGGGAAGCCCTGGGCTCATTCCCCAGTTTAAGAAAGTACTTAAACAGTGTTTCAGAATTAGATTCTGTGTAAAGCAAAGGTGTTAGAGCAGTCCAAATTTGTTATTTTAAACTTCAAGTGGAGGGATTTTCATTAACTACACTGATAAAGGTTTTAGAATTCTATTTTGGAAAACTTGATGTTAGAAACAACACTTCAAAGTTAATTTGTATCTATTTGTAATTGAATTGGTTGTATTCTGTTTGCACTCTAGAATTTGAAGGCAAGGCTACTTCCTTGACTTTACTTTCTTTTAGAAAAAAACTACTGGAAGAAACTTAAGAGATCTGTTAATGCCAGTACTTGAATGTGACATTTAACATGTCATGGAAACTGCTTTAAATAAATACTTGAGAAAAGGAATTAAATTGCCTTTTTTGTTGTTGTTGTATGAATGGGTATGGTTATATTGAGCTTAATCACATTTTTTAATAAAACTGGTTTAAGACTGAAATGGAATCCGTATTAAAACTTTTAGAAGATGGCCTTTTGAGTATTACAGCAGAGATACGGCTAAATCAGTAAATAAAATTTGAAACAGAAATTTGTAAATTACTTCTACAATCACTGATCTATAAGCATGCTATTGCCAATCAGTTTTATGTATTAAGACCTATCAGCATGTCTTTTAGTACTTGGTTGACATATTTTAAACTATAAGACGTTCTCTGTACCGTTTAACATTTTTAGACCTTATTCTTCCCAGGCAGATTCCATTGGGACTGTTTGCATTGCAGAGGCTTCAGTAGAGACTTCAGATGGAGCTTGGCTTTGCTTTCATGGGGTTTTAATTTGCACTAAATTTTATTTTCTGAAAGATCGCTTAATGTTTATAATGTAGTGCTTTTGTCTTACAATTAAACTTTGATAGCACTCATGCATGTTTTGCACTGTCTTTTTTCCCTCCAGTTTAAGCTTTTTCTTGGATGAAGGTCTTTATTTTTAGTTGAGAACGTAAGAGAACTGTAATGGTTAAATGTCACATAAAACTTGACATGATGGCTCATTTGAAAATTGTGTTTATATACAAGTAGTAAAAAATTACACGTTGAGAATCAGTGGTAGAAAAAGGGCTGTTCAGTTTTCCCCAGATCACTCAATGAGGCTGGTGAGATTTTGCATGGAGTTTTTTGCTCTTTGGCTTGTGCGTTGTCAGATGTAATGAGACCACTATTATTTAAAACAAAACAGTAAATTTAATTGAATAAGGTCTTCCTGGCAGGATAGATACAGAAGGACACTCCATTTCCTTTCATGTCTTGTTTTCCTTTTTGTCCTTTTGAGATTGGTTGTTGCTGTATGTCCTGAACTTGAGCCTATCCTGCCTCAACTGCTCCCCAAGCATTGGGATTGCAGTCTTGTACCAACTTCTTTTAGAGCAGTGGCTCTCAACCTGTGGGCTGCTACCTCTTGTGGGGATGGGGTGGGTGATGGTGTTGAATAACCCTGTAATGGGTCATCTGAGACCATTGGAAAACACAGATATTTATCTTATGAATGATTCATAACTAGCAAAATTAGCTATGAAGTAGCAAAGAAAATTTTATGGTTGGAGGTCACCACAACATAAACTTTTCTAATGGTCAAAGCATTAAAGTTGAGAATCACTCCCCCGCCCCTCTAGAAAGGGTTTCTTTGTGTAACAGTCCTAGCTGTCCTGAAATTTGCTCTGTAGACAAGGATGACCTTGAACCCACAGAGATTTGCCTGCTTCTGCCTCCTAAGTGCTGTGATTAAAGGTGAGCACCACCATTCCCAGCAAGAACCACTGTTTTTAGAGGAATGTGCATCATAATTAGTGTTGACCTTACTAGCACACATTGCAGGTTTTAACAACTTGTTTGAAACCAGCCTTTAAAAAAGAAAAGCAGAATTAATGGGTTTTGCCATAATTTACACAAAGTGAGTTTCTCAAGAGTCTTGTGAATTTTGAACATGTTGCATAGAAGGTACTTTCTGTTAAGTAGATTGTCAAGTTTGCAGTTTAATGCATTGAATGGGACAGATGATTGCAAACAAATCTTGTGCTAGTCCTACCGTTAGCCTACTGATACTGGACAAATTAACTTCTCCAAACACCCATCTTTCCAGCTATGATATTATAGTAACTTCCTCGCCTGTGGGCATAATTGAGGCATGTTTAAATGCTTCAAGTTAGCACTTTCTGCCTCATGAAGCTGTAAATGTGACAGTATTTTCAGAGGTATCTAGCCTGCTTGTGGCATGTTCCTTTAACCCCACCTCAGGAGGCAGAGTCAGATAACCTGAGTTCAAGGCCAGCCTTGAACCTGTCTCAAGATTTCTGATTCTAATCCTGAGGCTTGGAAGCCAAGCTTGGTATCTGCTGTCTGTATCTATGAAGTTTATAAATGAGAAAGTAACTGTTAAATATTTGCTGGGCGCAGATGAGATGAATATGATGTGGCATGGCCTTCCAGAAGGAATTCTATGTAGGTCTGGGGTTCCCTGACCTAGAACTTTGACAAAGGAGTCTTGCAATGTTGCTGATTGAAGAACTGACAGGAAGAGTGCAAGATTATTAAGGTTTCAGATTACTGGAGAGTTGAAATTCCATGTTCTGAAACGAGAAATAAAGTCCAATTAAGGAGGTTTGTGAAGAAAGGAAAATATAGTTGAGTTAGGTCATCTAAAATTTGAAGTGTTTGCATAATATCTGGGTGGCTGTAGCAGTTGAGAGGTGGAAAACTGGTGTTTAAGAGGATAGAGATGGAGAGGGAAATAGGGAGTGAAGAAAAGCACCTTGGGAAGTAAGAAATAACAAGAGCCAACTATTGGGCTGTGCTGTAGGCTGAGCGTCTGCATAATGGCTTTCAAGGCTTGCTGCACCTCAAGCAGCATTCAGTGCTGATGTCCTTCCTTTCAAGTTCAAGGGACTCAATATGATACCTTGGGCTTCAGTCGTTTTGGGTGTATATTAGAAATTATCTCAGTCGTTGGGAAGATTAAGAATTTAATTACCAGCGCATCATGTGCTGAATAAATGTCACTGCTGACTTGGCTGCTTCTGACTTGATACAAATGGAACTGGGAGGATCCAGGTTCCAACTACTTTGTAACTCATGACATCTTCCAGTGACTTCTGTCTTTGTCGTTCCTTGAATTCTCTGCTGTGCATAATACTACATGTGTAGATGCTGTTTGAGTGTTGGTATCATTTTTCTGACTTTCCTTAACTTTCTGTAGGATTACAGCCACTTGTGTATACAGACATTCTGTTTCTGACATGAGTTCTCCATGGTGATCCATGTGAACTGCTTGCTTTGAAATCCTAAATGAAGCTAGGTGGTGGCCCATGCTTTTAATCCTAGCACTCAGGAGGCAGAGGCAGGCGGATCTCTGAGTTTGAGGCCATCCTGGTCTACGGTCTACAAAGCTACTGGGAGAAACCCTGTCTCAAAAAACCAAAAAAAAAAAAAAAAAAAAAAAAAAAGAAGAAGAAGAAAGTAAATGGATGAGAATGCCTGTATTGCTTTGATACTTACCTCTCTTCAGCCTAAGCAGAGACCACTACTTTTCTTCCTCCAGGAGCCTTCTTCAATTTGTACATTCACATCCTTTTGAAATACCCTTAAGTTCTGCTTAAGGTTGTGCAGGAAAGGAAGCATTCCAACTCCTTCAGCCTGGAACCAGGGCAACAACCTGTGCATTTACTGTGCTATTTAATGGAGGTGAGCTCAAAAAACTCCAAATTCAAGACTTGGGCTGTGTAGACTGGGATAGCATTTGCCTAGTTTGTGCAAGGTCCTGGGTTTGATCCTTAGCTCCTACTTCTTAAAGGACTCACCATTCTTTGAGGGTTTTGGTTCTTGGCTTCCTATTATGTAAAATGAGGTAACTAGATTAGGTGATGTTCAGGTGCTTAACTTTCTAGTAATTGTGCTAATATGTACTCTTAGGACACATGTGTTTTATATGTAGAATTATATAACCACTAAGCTGTTAGGACAGTTTTGTATGCTTTCATAAATAGTGTCAGTGAAATATGTGACAGTTTTTCTTACTGTTCAGATTCACCTAAAATCAACGTGAGGCAACAAAACTGCTGATTGTCCTGTGTGAGCCACAATTAAGGGGTCAGACAAAACACTCAAAGTTCTGTTGGGTTTGGTGGCTGTATTATCAGTGAGTACTTGATCAGTAAATAACTGAAATGCGTCGATACTGTCTTTATTTAGGTTGGCTTTTTTTCTTTTCTAAAATAAAAATACCCACAGTAGGTTTTTTGGTGCCTTTCAGTGACCTATAAACTTCACCTTACACTAAAACACTCAGATTTTCTTAGTCTCACAGTACAATTCATTGTCATACCACCCCCAGCCCATTAGTATGTTACATGAGAGGCATATTGAGCCACAACATCTTTCTCTGGGTGTGTAAACCACCAAGGATGACCTTGTGATTGGAATGTGCTCTTCTAGTTAAAGGGTTAAACAAGCAAGGTGACAGTTGGCAGTGCTGGCTACTGGACATTACTACAGCTCTTTGAAGCATCATTCTGGCTTACTATTCTGTTTTTCTTTGAGACACTGTGTAGCCTAGGCTGACCTGAAATAACAAATCTGCCTAAGACTTCCAAGAGATGTACTTACAGGATTGAAGCTAAATGGTTTTTAAAGTTGAAGAACTTGAGTTAGATGGCACAGTGGGGAAAACTGCTTGTTGCCAAGTTTGACCTGAGTTCGATCCTGGAATGTTGTAGTGGTAGGAGAGATCTGGCTCTCCGAGAGCTAGCTGTTTCTTGACCTCCATAGGCATGCTGACATATGCAGACGTGCACAGATACATGTGAATAGTGGTAAAGGGAAAACCCTCTTGTTCTGCAGAGCAGAGCTGGAAGCTGTGTCAGAAGTCTTGGTGCTTTGAGGTTGCTGCATGAGTTACATTGTAAAGCAACGACAGAGGGTCATCAGGTGCTATGATAGGCATGGCCTGTGACAGTTAGAATATGGCATTAGCATTTTTTGATCCCTATATAAGGAGTTGCCTCAAAACAATGGTTTGACTTTTCATTTCAGATGAAACATGGGAGACAAGACTGTATGCTCATGTTAAAATTATTTTTTCTAAGGGTATTTTAAGGTGGGTTATGGTTTTCAGTATGATTGTCAGTAATTAATAGCATTAGTTCAGTAACCCACTATTAACAGATGACATTTACTCTGTATTCAGCCAGTATCAGCCCCCAGGTGGGGAACAGGATGTAGTGTAACTTGCCCCTGAGACACAGGTGATCATGTGACAGAGCTGAGGTGAGCTTCAGTAGTATAACCAGGGTTTGTGCTTCTCTAAGTTTTACTTTTTGAAACAAGTTCTCACACTGTGTAACTTCTCACACTTAGGGTAGCCTTGAACTCAGCAGTCCTGCTTCAGCCTTCTGAGTGTTGGGATTACAAGCATAAGTCACTATGCTGTTTGTCTCGTTTGAGCTGGCCTCAATCTCAGATCTGCCCACCTCAGCCCCCAAGTGTTGGGGCTAAAGGTGTTCAGCATCACTTTGGCTTCAGGGTGAGGGAGACCAAGGAGCAGGTGCAACAGTGGCAAAGCCTTGTTAAGGAAACAGGCACAGAGTCAGAAGATGGGAAGGCAGGGCTGGGACACAGTCATCCTTTCTTCCTCCAGTTCTCTACCACCGTGTGAGTGAGTTCAGAATCACTGGGTGCACAACTCTAATTCCACAGAACCGTTTATTGGCATTGAGGGGAGGAAGGGTCAGGTAGGTATTGTGTGTGTACTTAAGAGAATGACAATGATTGAGAGGAGGATTGTAAGGACGGTAATTACGATCTTGAAGGGTTTCCACCATACCCTCTTGGGGATCTTCCTTGCTTTCTCAGAGTTTTCAGCCTGAAATGAAAATAAACACAAACTTAAAACCTTCTGTGCACTTCTGAATACTTAGGAAGACTATTCCAGTTTTTTTTTTTTTTGTTTTGTTTTTTTGTTTTTTAGAGACAGGGTTTCTCTGTGGCTTTGGAGGTTGTCCTGGAACTCGCTCTGTAGACCAGGTTGGCCTCGAACTCACAGAGATCCGCCTGCCTCTGCCTCCCGAGTGCTGGGATTAAAGGCGTGCGCCACCAACGCCCGGCTGACTATTCCAGTTTTAACTAATTCCAAAAGCAGTCATTATGCCCCGGTGGATATGTAAAGTGCAACACCATGGTTCTAGGAACCTGTGTTGAGCTGTGACTTTATTAACACTGAGACATTGGGCAAGTTTTCTCATTTTCATTTTCCTTGTGGTTTTCCTGAAAGGGTTCCTTATAACCTGATTTAAAGTTCTACCATGTTTTTGTTCTACATACTTTGCTCTCAATTGGTTTAAAGACTCATTTGTCTGTGTGTGGCACTGAATTCCTGGAGCTGAAGTTACAGGTGCTGGAAATCCACCAGAAGAGCCAACCACAAGCTGTCTTTACTGCTGAGCCATCTCTCCAGCTCCCTTATTATTCTCTATTTTCTGATTAATCAGTAAGTAAATGTCCTATGGTACTAGATATGAGAAAATTATGATGCAACCTTGCCTATTTTGCTGCATTCTCAGTGTGGGACAATGTCTGGGATACAGTTGACTAAATATTTACTGGAGTAATGACAATTTAAATGGGGAAAATAACACCTGCTGTGTAGTGCCACAGACTGAGGACTAACTGAGGAAGTGAACATGACACATCTAAGATGACTGCCTTATGAGAATCTTGTTATTTATTAGCAGTTTTCTTAGATAATTAGATACTGTTAGGATTTTCATGTGCAGTACCTCCACACACTCATGGTTTGAGCGGTTGTTCCTCAGCTAGTAGAGCTACTTTGGAAACTGGGGTGTGTGTGTGTCTATCTGTGTTTGTGTCTGTCTTGTCTTTGTGAGGCAGCTCTAGCTATTGGAAGGTTGTTAAAGGTGAGCCTAGCCTCCCGCTGCTGGCTCTCTTTCCCAGTCTACTGGCAGACATCACCTGAACTCCACTGCGCCACCGTGTGTTCCTGGATGGAAACCCTCGGAAGCTGTGAGCCCAAACAAAACTTTTTGTATTTTCAGGTAATGTGGTCACAGAGATGCAGAAATACAGATGTGAATATGGTCAGTGCTTTATTAAAGAAGTGTGACTTTTAAAAATGCATTTATTTATTTTACATTCTGACCACAGCCTCTCCTCCCTCCTCCCATTCCCTACCCTTTTCCCTCTGCCCCCTCCCAATCTACCCTTCTATCCGTTCAGAAAGGCCAGGCCTCCCACCGGCATCGGCAAAGCATGGCATATTGAGCTGCCTGTCACAAGACCAAGCACCTCCCCCTGTACTCAGGCTGGGCAAGGCAATCCAGCATGAGGACTAGGTTGTCAAGAGCTAGTCAAAGCACCAGGGACAGCCCCTGTTCCTATTGTCAGCAGTCCCACAAATAGACCAAGCTACACAACTGTCATTTATGCAGAGAGCCTAGGTCTGTCCCATACAGGCTCCCCAGGTTTTGGTTCAGACTCTTGAGTTCCCATGAGTCAGGCTAACTGTTTCTGTGGGTTTTCCTGTGATATCCTTGACCTCTCTGGCTCCTTATAATCCCTCCTCCTCAGTAGAACTCCCAGAGCTCAGCCCAGTGACAATCGGGGTAGTCACCAATCCAGTCACAGGGGATGGCCAGTTCAGGCTTCTGCCCGAAGTCTTAGCTGGGGCCATCCTTGTAGACTCGTGTGTTATGGAATATTAGTTTAATGATGCAGAGGTGTGTCATTCTTTTATGTTGCATTTGTTTAACTCTGTAAAGCTGTGTTACTTTGCCTGCCTGAAACACCTAGATTGATCTAATAAAGAGCTAATAGCTAGTCAGGAGAGAGGAATAGGCGGGGCTACCAGAAGGAGAGACTAAATAGGAGAAACCTAGAGGAGGAGAGGAGAGAGCTAGGAACGAGAGGAGAGGTGGACATCAGGGACCAGCAACATAACCAGCCACAGAGTAAGAAGGAAAGAAAGACATAGAATTAAAAAAAAAAAGCCCAGAGGCAAAACACAGAAGAAATGAGTTAATTTAAATTAGAAAAGCAGACTAGAAACAAGCTAAAGCTGGACACTGATAAGTAAGAATAATTCTCCATTGTGTATTTATTTGGGGGATGGGTGCCAGGTCTCCAAAAGAGTTAAAAAACAAAAGAAAAAAACAACTGCACTCAGTTTCCCTTGCATCAGGCTTCTACCCGACCCTGAAAAGTCCCCTTTGCAGTCATCTCTTAGTGCTCTTCCCTTCCATCTGCTCCCAGTCCACCCAGAAGTTCTCTATTTCCCCTTCCCAAGGAGATCCATTCCTCCCCACTTGGGCCCTTTGTTACCTAGCCTCTCTGGGTCGGTAGATTGTAGCATAGTTATCCCTTATTTTATAGTTATTATCCACTTATGAGTGAGTACATACCATGTTTGTTTTTCTGGGTCTGGGTTACCTCAGGATGTTTTTTTTTTTCTAGGTTTACCCATTTGCCTTCAGATTTCCTAATGTCATTGTTTTTTAACAGCTGAGTAGTACTCCATTGTGTAAATGTACCACATTTTGTTTATCCATTCTTCAGTTGAGGGACATCTAGGTTGTTTCCAGGTTCTAGCTATTACAAATAAAGTTGCTATGTACATAGTTGAGCAATTGTTCGTTCTTGTGGTATGATTGAGCATCCTTGGGTACTATTGCTGGGTCTTGAGGTAGATTGATTCCCAATTTTTTTGAGAAACCACCATACTGATTTCCACACGTTTGCACTCCTACCAGCAATGGGGGAGTGTTCCCCTTTCTCCACATCCTCTCCAGCATAAGCTATAATTTGCTTTTTTGATCTTAGACATTCGGACAGGTGTAAGATGGAATCTCAGAGTCCCTTTGATTTGCATTTCCCTGATGGCTAAGGATGATGAACATTTCTTTATGTGTTTCTCTGCCATTTGAGATCTTCTGTTGAGAATTCTCAGTGGCCTTGGGCTTTTCTTGGTTGGGAGACTTAATGACTGCTTCTATTTCCTTAGAGGTTATAGGTCTATTTATTTATTTAATATGGGTGAGTGTTTTGCCTACATGTCCATGTACCATGTAAATACAGTGCCTGTGGAAGCTAGAAGAGGAAAAGATGTGTTGTGACTTTCTCCTTCTCATTGATCTCTCAGCACTTCTCTCTATATGTGACTCCAGCTTTTTATTATCTAGACTAATTAAGAACCCCCCTTCACATATTGGCGTTCAATGTGGGGCACAAACCCATGACCCTGAGATTAAGAGTTTCATGCTCTACTGACTTCAGAGATCTACAGAATATGGCAGTTAACATGCTTTAATGGCATAGGTTCTTTTGTTATGACAATGAGACATGTCTGTTCCTGCAGCACCAATCTACATCAGAGACGATGATGGACACAGAAGAAACTCCACATGGGGTTTGAGTTCTTTGTGGTAAAGGTAAGCCACTGGGCAAGAAAGTGCCCTTGCTTCAACTGCTGACAGTTTGTTGTCCAAATTGGACAAACAGGACACCAAAAGGAGTGACTGTAAACCTTGCCAAGACAAGGCATTCCTTCAGATTATTCTGGTTCACAGAAATGCCTGTCAGATATGCTAGGTCTATAGGCCGAAGATGGATGCCCCAACATTGCAGAGCAACCTTGGGTGACTGTCTAGGCAGCCAGCTCTTTCTGTCATTTCTCACATTTTTTGGAAGTCACTTGCTCATACTTTCTTTTTACTCAGTTAATAATTCCTTCTTGGGTCTCTGAGGGAGTTGAAGACTAAATTGTTTAATTACAGTTTTTCCTGTTTACCAGAATCAGTAAAGAAACTCACTATAGATGTATTCAGTGTAATAGGTTTAAAAAAGATATTAAAAGATAATTTGATATGCAAATTAGAATAGAAAGTAAATTAGGTACAAGACTTTGGACTTATCAAGAAAGAATAGATAATGGAGTATTTTCTTGGAATTTGTCATATGCTTATGGACTAGACTGTTAATGTACTTATTGTCATATATATTGTACATAGTTTTTCTCATAACATTTTAAAAATTTTAGGCAAAAATGGGGGATATGTGGTGATATCTTTCTTGCACAAGTAAAGCCTGTTTGGGGGTCCGAGAATGGAGCTTGTCACTAGCTAACCGTAGACGCCTGGAGGTCTGTACAGACAGTCAGGAAGTGACATAGCTGGGCAGAAACAGGATATAAGCAGGGAGACACAGGAAATCACTCTCTTCTCTGCTGAGATGCTTAGGAGGTAAGGTGTGCTGTGGCTTGCACCTCTCTGATCTCTCAGCACTATATCTTTCTCCAACTTTTTATTATCTAGACCAATTAAGAACTCCATTTACAGCATTGGGTCCCTTAAACTGGAGGTACAAATGGTTGAAAGCTGCTACGTTGGTGCTGAGAACTAAACTCCAGGTCCTACTGAAGAGCAGCTGTGTTCTTGACTAGCTCTGGTCTCACACTGCTTTTTAGTTATTGTTGTTTAAACTTTTTTCTTTTAGATTTATTTTATGTATGTGCATGTGCATCCTTTGTCTGTATGTACATATATATGTGCAACACCTGTGCCTGGAGTCCTCAGAGGTCAGAAGATGGCAGATGCCCTAGAAATGACCTTACAGATGGTTCTGAGCTGCTGCATGGAATCAAACCCAGTTTTTCTGCAAGAGCAACAAATACTCTGAGTCACTGAACCATTGCTCCCTCCACAACCCCATATTTCTAATATAAGAACAATTATGAGAGGCCAGGTTTATGTATCCATGATACTATTAGTTATTTCCAAGGATCTGCTATGAGGAAACAAGGAGACCAGTACAGTTTTCAGTATATGAGAATTTACTGGGTGCTAAGATATAAGGCACACAATGTGCTTCATATGTGTTTTTGTACTAATAAGCATTATTTAGTAATCTCTCATATTTGTATGTTATAGTGGTAAAGAAAATGAGGCAGAGATTTTAGTTACTTAAGATTTTATAGTAAGTGATGGGGCTAGAATTCAAATATAGAACTGTAGGATTTACAAGTTAGAAAAATGTACTAGGATATAACTAGACTCTGCATTCTGTTAGGTAATTTTGTTTTCTAATTCATGGAATGAGTGTGTATGGTTTGAAACATGGATTCTACACCACACACAAGTAAAGGCAGCCTGGCAGGCCCTTTCTCATCCTCGGGCCTCTCAGAAGTCAGTAACTTTGTGTGTGGTGTGTGTGTGTGTGTGTGTGTGTGTGTGTGTGTGTGTGTGTGTGTGTGTGTGTGTGTGTGTGTGTGTGTAATATCTCACCCCCCAAGACAGGGTTTCTCTGTGTAGCCCCGTCCTGGAACTCACTATGTAGACCAGGCTGGCCTTGAACTCAGAGATCTGCCTGCCTCTGCCTCCCAAATGCTGGGATTAAAGGCATGTGCCACCACTGCCCAGCTCAGTTTTGTTGAAGTCTTGTAGCTATTTTCATTTGTTTTGTATGATGCCATATCCGTCATATATAAAATATGGTTCTCAACTAGAAGGCAGTTTTTGCCCTCCGGGAAACATTTTTGAATTGTCACAACTAGAGGGAATGAGAGCAACTTCTACCATGGGGAAGCCAGGGGTGCTGGTAAAAGTCTTAATGGTGCAAGCCCCCTGAACAGAGATTCAGCCCAATCTCCTGGGGTTGTGGGATCACAGCCTAGAACTGTGTCTGCCATGCAATCATCATGGTAGAGTTGTAGAATGACCCAATTCAGTTGGTCATTTTCTCCTGGAGCTTGTTTTTCTATAAAGCATGTGTCCTTATTTCTGTTGTCAAACATAAGGAAGTCAGTGCCGTATTTCCTTCCTGTATGTAGTCTGTCTTTCTAGACAAGCAGAACTTTGTCAGTGTTTCCAGGACCACTGACTGCACTGACTTTAAGGTCTTTGGTTTTGGAGCTAATTAAACCCTTGTCAATTTGATTAGTGATACTTTGGTTTCTCTAAAGATAACACTGTACCTAACATTAAATTTTTGTTTTTTTAGTTTTTTACCTGTTTTCCATTAATCCATGTCCAGGGTCTCCAAAGAAATAGCCATTTCCCTTTTCTCATTCATGTGTTGGCTCTTTTGCTTTATCTTCAGTAAGCCCTTAGCTTTAATTATTTGTTTCCCTTCTTATTTATTTGTATGCATGATCTCACATGTGCATGTATACTCTCCTTCCACGTATGGGTTGTCATGAGTGCTGGCGTGTCTTCACTAGTGACTAGGTCATCTCACTGACCGATTCACATCTTTTGGCCTGCCCCAATCTGCTTGGTTTGGCTAATTTGATTCTCTCCCCACCTCCCTCCTGTAACTCTGACTGGCCTGGACCTCACAATGTAGGCCCAGTGCTGAGATTAAAAGGTGTGACTACATGTGACTTCAATCTTGAACTCTTAACTTCACCAGTGTCCTGGGATTACTCCTCTCTTGGGCCAGGCCTTTTATTTGCTTCATCTTTGTCTTTCTCTTCATTTATCCCTTCTTACCAGCAGAAACTATCCCCAAAACTCTGGTACAAAGAGTGATGGGGTAGGTTTCTGACAACTTCTAGAAATACCTTTAGATTGAGTTGGTCAGTATAGAACTGAGTTTGGAAATCACTTTCTATCAGAATTTTGAAAGCATACTCCAGTTTTCTAACTTTCAGTATTACTACTGAAAACATGATAACATTCTAGTTACTGTCTTGGGCTTTTGCTTCTTTTTGACCCTTAAAGTCCTTTAAATTCTTTTTTTTTCCTTTCCTCCCCTGCCAAGGGCTAGGATTAGAAGCATGCACCACTTCTAATAGCTCATGATTTGGGTTACTGGCTTGGTGAAGTGAAGACTGGAAAGTCAGTATGAGAGGATGATGTCTGTCATTTAGTGGAATTCGCTCAAGGATGACGTGGGGTGGGTCTGGTCATGTTGTTAGTGGTGCTTGCCTGGTTTTCCCTTGTCTAATCAGTTCTCAGAGAGTGATTCTTTTGCCCCCTGCCTGGATAGAACTGCACTCACTCTGCTGCAACCACACTTGGTACCTGCCATCTTTAGAGCTAGTTTCTTACCCTCCTCTGTTGGGGAAGCAGTTGGCTGGATAACATAAGGAAGGTATTCTAGATGTTTCTTTTAAAGGCCATACTCAGTCACTCATCTGCGTTTAGAAGTACCATATTTACAGTCCTTCCTGTTTTGTGTGCTGTTTTGAGAAGTACCATCTTAAGGTCTTTCCTATGGTTCTATTGCCTGGATCACTCTGTGTTAATCTCTTCTTTTGCTATAATAGGCTTGCATTTCAACTTGTTCTCCTTTACTGAGGTCTCCTTTACTCATTCATTTCTTGGTTCTAAAAGTGATGTTGATTCTTACCTACTTTTTTTTATCCTAGTGGTTTATATGTGTTCAAGTTATTATTTTATATTGGAGTTTGAGGTAATACCTGGAAGTATACATGTAACCTACCCAAAAATATATGTTTTATATTTATTTGTAGGAAAACTGACCATTTATTAGCCTACTTCTTGTTAAAAGGTCGAATATGGGTCTAGGGAGATGGCTCAGCAATGGGGTGACTGTTGAACAAGCAGCAGGGGGTGAGTTCAGATTCCTAGCACCCAGTCAGAGCTGGGTGTGGTGGCTAGCACTGTCTTCAACACTAGCAGTGGGGCACGGAGACATGCTGGCGTGTTGTCCCTGACCACCACACACATGTGTAATTCTCATACTCACCATCACCCCCAACTAATAAATAAAAAGTTAAAACATTCTAATGTGAGCAAAATGAGATGAAGGGAAAAAACTGGAGTTAATAGAACTCAGTGTTTGCGAACTGTGTTTTTCATGGTGGCAATATTCCAGAAAAGATGAGTAAACATTAGTTTGAAGATGCTGGAAGGGAACTGTCCAGATTAGTTTCCAAACTACTGAAAAATTTGGGAGACATGCAAAAGTTGACAGCAGCAGTGTTAGTAGTTATCAACATATGATAAGTTTTGCTTTTTCCAGTTATCCTGGAACAAATGCTCAGATATTATCTAATTTTAGTCACAACATTTTAGTATGAACATTTCTAAATGACTTTAAAAACCATAAGTACAGTATCTTTATCATGTCTAAAAGTTAATAAGAATCCCTGAATGTCGTTTACTATCCAATTATTCTTTTTAAAAGGTTATTTGTTTCATGTATAGGCATGTACATGTATGTGTTCACCCGTGTGGCATAGGTCAGGGTCGGGGTTAAGACAGCTTTCTGTACTCAGCTTTTTGTTTTGTTTTGTTTTGTTTTTTGACTTTTCGAGACAGGGTTTCTCTGTGGCTTTGGATCCTGTCCTGGAACTCGCTCTTGTAGACCAGGCTAGTCTCGAATTCACAGAGATCTGCCTGCCTCTGCCTTCTGAGTGCTGGGATTAAAGGTGTGCACCACCAACACCCAGCTGGACTCAGCATTTTTACCTCTGCTCTTTTTGTTGTGGAGACAGAACTCCAGTGATTGGACTTGGTGGCAAGTACCTTTACCGGTAAGCCAGCTTGCAGTCCTGAAATTATTCTTTAATGTTTCTATAGGGCAATTTCCTTTCTTTTTGATTACAAAGTATTGTCTCACATTAGCCTTATGTGTCTTTGTCTTGAGTAGGCTGTTCCCAGGGCAGTAACACTGGTTTTTTCGCCCTGGAGATCAACATTCATGCAAATTACTTACTATTTCTTGGGGGTCATCTGTTCCTTTAGGGATGATGCTCACTGTCTCTGTTTCTCTTTCTAAAACTGTGTCCATGTTTCTCAGCATAATGTTTTTTACATCAGTCACTTGGCTTTTCATTGTAGTTACTGTGTTGTAACTTTGATTTTTATTGTACTCCATCTACATAGATGTGAAATAGAATACAGACTTAATTTGTATTAGTGAAACACGTTATCGTCAAGGGCACATCTTACTTTTACAAGGAATCAACTATGTAGGACCAGGCGGGACAGAAACTCCATCATCCCAAACATGCAAGCGGGGTGGGGGAGTCACACCGATGCATTCAGTGAGGTGTGGGTGATTTTCTTTAAATGGTTTATTTAATCATTTTAAGAAATAGACTTTAAGAGACATTACATGTTCACTGTAAAATCCAGCTTTCTGGCTTCTCCCTGGCTGCTACAGGGCACAGCATCTTCTGCTCCCAACATCCTACATGGAGCAGAACATTGGCTACAGCTGATGGCATGAGTAGGGGGTAGGACGTGTTGGGCAGTTTCAGGCACAGGGACCTCACTTCTTGTCCAGGGACAGAAACTGGAAATGCCCTCTTATCTGGCTGGAGGACATTGCCTTATTGCTGTGGACTCTAATTCCTCCTCTGGTTTCTTGTTCTCTTTCTCCTTTTGCCCAGATGCCTGGAAGGTGTATGTGAGGGTATGAGCGAAACTCTACCTCAGGTACCTAGGATGGAGAAGCACACAGACACCTTGTGGGTGGGTCAGCTAGACTGACCGGCTCACCCCACATGGCTCAAGATAATAAATAAATAAGAAGGCTTTAATAAACCCTAGGCAGCCACTGTCAGCAGCAACTCCTTTTTTGGGTTCAATCTCTGCTGTCCAGGAACACTGCTTCCTTCCTATAGACGTCACCTTTTCCTTCTCTCACTATCAACTTGTAACAAACTCCTTTCTAACACTTACCCTCCTATTGCACATTAAATTCACTCTTCGGGGTTGGGAGACAAAGGACCAGAAGGACACTAGCCTGGGGTGGCTTTGGTGGCTGTTGATCACCTCAGACCCTGGTATCCCCAGTTATGTTCCCCTGAGGCAAGAAAGTCTCAGTGACATACAGCCCCTTCATCCATACCAATTAGTTTATCCTCAGTGGTTACATCTAATGGGTTTGAATAAACATGTAACCGTTATTTAAAACAATTATTATTTCATTTTATATGAATGGGTGTTTTGTCTGCGTGTGTGTGTGTGTGTGTGTGTGTGTGTGTGTGTGTGTGTGTGTGTGTGTGTGTGTGTGTGTGTGTGTGTGTGTCTGGTATCCTTGGAGACCAGAAGAGAGCACTGGATCCCTGGAAGTGGAGTTATGGGCAGTTGTGAGCTGTCATGTGGGTGCAGGAACTGAACCTGAGTCCTCTGCAAGGCTATCAGGTGCTCTTTCACTGTTGGGCTATCTCTCTAGCCCCAGGACATCTATTATTAAAGTGACATACAGGACAGCTTTATGGTCAGTGAAACCCTGCGACCTCCTACCTGTTTTCACTTGGTTCCCACCGTCCTGGAAACCATGGGTACTCACTCTGTTGTGCACAGTGATTTCTGGAGTGCCACATAATTTGAACAGTAGAGAATGCAGCCTTTTCACATTGGCTTCTTTCATTTACTAATACGTATTTTAAGTTCTTCCATGCCATTTCTTTTATCCTATCTCCCTGAAAAGCAACTTACGTGGTTTTTAACCTGACATTTTCAAATAACTCTGGCCACACTGACTATTCCGAGACAAGACTTCAGAGAAAGATTGTGGCCTCTGCATCGGAAAGAGGTTTGAACAGACAAGTATGGAACTAATGTGTCATCTCATAGCTTCCTTATTGTCCTTGATCTTCATGTAACCCAAATGCCCCAGCTTCTTTGACAGGGAACACCTACATCAACAATCCAACCCCACGCCCTCCTCTGTCTGACTGCTGGGTTCCCATCTTTCCTGCTGTTTCATAACTTTCTTCCCGCCAGTGCATTGGCTGTCACTCCCTTTGCCCTCAGGACAGACAGGCAGAATGACTCCTGTCCCAACATAGATGTCACCGCTGCCAGCATTACCTGACCTGCTGATGAGGCTGACTCACCACTGTTGGGACAACATACAAAGTTGACTTCATTATAACATCTTCATAATATGTGTCATTCTCTCTCTCTCTCTCTCTCTCTCTCTCTCTCTCTCTCTCTCTCTCTCTCTCTCTCTCTCTCTCTCTCTCTCTCTCTCTCCTCTCTCTCTCTCTCTCTCTCTCTCTCTCTCTCTCTCTCTCTCTCTCTCTCTCTCTCTCTCTCTCTCTCTCTCTCTCTCTCTCTCTCTCTCGGTTTTTTGAGACAGGGTTTCTCTGTATTGTTTTGGAGGCTGTCCTGGAACTCGCTCGGTAGACCAGGCTTGGTCTTGAACTCACAGAGATCCACCTGCCTCTGCCTCCCGAGTGCTGGGATTAAAGGCGTGCACCACCACCGCCCGGCGTGTCATATTCTCTTATTTTTTACTTCTCCCCCCCGTCAGCCTCTCATCTCCCGTTTACTACCTCATTTACTTTCCTATTATTGTATGGATGTAATTACCCTTTCTACACCCTTTTCCTTTAAGACATTTCCTCCCTTTATAGTCCCCTTTCTAGAGTCATGGCCTACAAATACATGCATGTAAATAGGTCACTTCTTTGAGACAATTTTTCAAGTTTTAAACTACATTTTCTAAATGTGAGAGCATGTACTATAGCACACGTGGAGGTCAAAGGAAAACGTGCAGGAGTTGGCTTTCTCCTTCCACTGTGAGTTCTGGGGATTGGACGTGGCTTTACCAGACTTGCCGGCAGGTACCTTTATCTGCTGAGCCGTCTCACTGAGATCTGCTTTTCCAGTGAAAGCACACAGAGCTATCACCAGTCCTCTTAGTCTCCACCGGACCGACCTAGGCCGTCTGCATGTGTGTGACAGTTGTGTAACTTATTCTTTTTGTAGAGCTCCTAGCTGTGAGATCAGGACTTGTCCCTGGAGCTTAGCTGACTTTTGGGAATCTGTTCCCCATGCTGAATTACCTGGCCCAGCCTTGATGTAAGGGGAGGGGCTGGGTCCTGCCTCAACTTGATGTGCCATATCTTACTCAAGCCCACGGGAGGCCTGCCCCTTTCTGAGTGGAGACAGAGGAGGAGTGGGGGGGGCAGTAGATGGGAAGCAGGGCTGGGAAAACTGCAGTCAGTATGTAAAATAAATGAAGAAAAATGTTATTCAAATAAAATTTAAAAAGAATAAAGAATAAAAACGAAGCTCCTCTTAGAATTGCCTTAGAGTTTGATTCACTTGCTTAGCATGCACAAGACATAAAATTTAAAAACTGTCTTAGCTATATCCCAAAGGTTCTGGTAATTATGCTTATATTTTGATTTTTTTCTAAGAATTTTAAAACTTCCTTTATGATTTCCTCAATGATGATTCAAGAGGATATTGTTCAATATCCATGTCTTTGTGTTGTTTCTGTAGTTTTTTTCTTGTTACTGATTCCCAGACGTCACTGTGATCTGTAAAGATGTGAGATTCCTTCCTTTGTATTTGTTAAGACTTGGCTGTAGTCTAGAAGATGGTGTGTTTTAGAGAAGGTTCCTTGTGGTGAACGTGTGCTGTGTTTGTTGGATGGGAATGTTCTGTACATTCCTATTAAGTCTATTTGACCCGTGGTGCAATGATGTCTGAGGTGTCTTTGTCAATATTTAGTTGAATGACACATCTAGAGACAAAAGTGGGCAACACAGTCACTAGTATTATGTCTATTAGTATTTACTTCATAAAATTGGGACTCCTAACATTTGGTGCATATTTAATTCTTATATCTTATGATGGTGAATTGATCTCTTCATTAATACAAAGTGTCTTATCTCTTCTGGTTAATTTTGGTCTGAAGTCTGCTTTAACAGAACAGCCATGCCAGGTTGTTTTCAATTTCCATTTGCTTGACTGATTGCTTTCTGCCCATTGCCTCTGAGTCTATGAGTATCGTTACCAGTGCACGTTGTTTCCTGGAGACCACAGAAAACTGGACCTAGTTTTTAAATCTAGACTGGCAGTCTAAGCAGAGGCAATTCACATTTAAGATTATTACTGAGAGATGTTTACTAATTCCTCTGGTGACTTTATTGGTTGCTGCTCTTCCTCTGCCTCCTCTGCCTTCTTTCCCTCTCCTCCTCCTCCTCCTCCTCCTCCTCCTCCTCCTCCTCCTCCTCCTCCTCCTCCTCCTCCTCCTCCTCCTCCTCCTCCTCCTCCCCCTCTTCCTCCTCTGTTGTGTTACTATTTCAAGTGTGCACTTTGGTGGCACTGGTACCTTTTACTGTTAGGTAATGGGCGTCACCATCCATGTGTAGATTTCTCATTTTCCCTGAACTGAACATACAAACATAGAAATCAACATCAACTGCCCAGTCTCCCTTTTCTCCATCCTTTGCGGTTATTTCACTTTCCATCTCAAGCAATTTTATTATTATTGGTATTTCATGTAAATGGAATTATAGAGTATTTGCCCTTTAGTGACATCTTATTTCGCCCAATAAGGAAACATTTAAAATTTTAATTTAATAGTATTTTATAATTATCCAAAACATTCAAATGGTTAAAAAGTAGTTTTCACACAGATTTTGTTTTTTTAAAGATGTATGTATTTTATGTATGAGTGCTCTATCTGCACGTACAACTTTATGCCAGAAGAGGGCATCAGGTCCCACTGTAGATGGTTGTGAGCCACCACGTGGTTGCTGGGAATTGAGCTTGGGACCTGTGGAAGAGCAGCCAGTGTTCTTGAACCATCTCTCCAGCCCTCAGCTCAGGTTTCATACAGAGAGGCCTAGTTTTTTTCTCTGACAGCTCAACCCTTCTTTCTTCCCCCAATCCCATCCAGGCATCCATTTAAGCATTTTTAGTTTATCCTTTTACTTTTAAACTAAAATAAGCAAATACATGTATTTGTATTTATCCCCTCTTTCTGAAATGGCTGCATATGAGAATGGTGAATGACCTGACAGCATGACACTTGTGTTTCTGTTGCTCTGCAGATACCCCCAGAATGAATCTTTGCACCCTACAGACAGTTCTCACCCTTGCCTCCCACTCTTACATCGGTGAAGTTAGGATACAAGTTGAGGTACATACCATGTGTTCTGCTAGTATTTGCTGAAAATCTGTAGCAAGTGCATTTGAAGGGAAAAAATGGTCTTGTGACATCAGAGGATTTCTTGTAAAAATATCACTAACCTGGGGAAAATTAATGGAAATATGTAACCTGAATGGCTAATTCCAAGTGGAAAAAAAAACCAGAGTAAATGTTATTTGAAGCAAAACATGGTAGAAACTTGAAAAACTGGGGCTTTTTGATGGCAGATCATCCTTTCCATTTTAAGACATGTTAATTGTGAACACCATGTGTGGTACTGTGTGTAGCACAGGCTTACCTAGAATTCTAGTACAGACCAGAGACTTGTATAGTTTGTCTGTAGCTATTCCCTTCTTCCATTGGTGTATACAAGGGCACGGGAAGGGGAGACCTGTGACATTTCCCAAATCTCTTCTGCCCTTGTCTTCAAAATTGACTCAGAAATCATAAAACAATGCCAAGTGCCACGCCTTTGTATCAAATGTTAGTTATAAGAAGTTTCAATGCCTCAAAGAAGAACCCAGACAATTGTCTGTATTTAATATTACATCTCTCAGAAGTGCTGGTAAAAATGACCTGGTTAGCAGTTTTGTGTCACTTGGTTTTCAGAAGGGTGGCAAAATTGGGAAGTTTCATTGTAAAGGACAGAGAGAAAAAAACATTAGGGTATATTCAGTAAAATTGCTCTCTGAATTTTAACAGTTGTCGATGCAGAGAGAAGTACCCTCCAACTTTATACACGGTAACAATGGAAGCTGTGTCAATGTTACATGTGCTCTGAACAGATGAAATATGTGCAGGATTCACAAATGTATGAACTACTAGTAACTATAGTAGAGCTTATGGAGTCAGTGTTTTCATTAAAGTATTTATCTTGTTTATATATATTTGCAATATATAAAGTTGAAGATTAGGAACATTTACTTTTAAAAATAGAACCAGGGATAAGAGAGATGGCTCAGCACTTAAGAGTACTTGCAGAGGACCCAGGTTTAGTTCCTAGCACCCACATGATGGTTCACAACCATCTGTAATGGCAGTTCCAGGGATCTGGTTCCATCTTCTGACATCCAAGGGGGTGGCACACATGTGGTGTACTTATACTTTGGGTAACTGTCCAGGTAGCGAGATGTTGCTGTCAATTCTAGAGTTTATATATTATCATTCTGTGGTCTTTGATGGAGTTGAAGACAGCTAGTTATAATTATAGTTTTCCTTAGTTATAATAAAAGATAAGTTATATATAAGACTTTAGACTCACACAGATAGGATAGAAGATAAAATGCTTTCTTTAAATCTTACTTTAATGGACTAAATATTGTAACTATAGTTCTTGATAACTGTTCTGTCATATGTAATTTGACTATGCTAAAGTTAATACCTTTTTATTTAGACAGAAAAGAGGACGTCCTTCTGTATATACGTAAATAAAGCACTGTTGGCCAATAGGGAAGCAAGATAGGTGGGACTAGGAGTCGAGGAGGATTCTGGGAAATGTAGTAAAGAGTAGAGAGTTGCCATGTGATTGTAGGAGGGCAGGACGTGTCAGGATGGCGTCCTCAGAAAGATAAGTCTTTATAAAAATATATATTAGGCCGGGCGGTGGTGGCGCACGCCTTTAATCCCAGCACTCGGGAGGCAGAGGCAGGTGGATCTCTGTGAGTTTGAGACCAGGCTGGACCGACAGCCTCCAAAACAATACAGAGAAACCCTGTCTCGTAAAACCAAAAAAAAATGTTAGTAATTATGGGTTAATAATTAAGTCAAAGCTAGCTGATTAGAAACCATAGCAAACAGCCAATAGCTTCCTAATTAATAGAGTGTCTCGTGTGTTATTTGGGGGCTAAGCGGTGACAGGATCCAGGTGGGAATCCTGTTACACTTATATACAAGCAGGCAAAAGACAGACACACATAAAAAAATAAATAAAAAATAAAAACAAGAGGCTCCCATAGAAATCTCCAGGACAGTGGGCTTAGCTATGTCTGTAGACTGCCTTTTCTGGAGTTTCCTATTGACTGAGCTCAGACATGGAGCAACAGGTGATATCTATGGTAACTAGTCTCTTAGAAATGTGTAAAGTTTCACTCTATACAGTTTATATATCCTGGCAATTCTGTTAAAAATTTTACTAGTGGTAACATATCTTTATTTAAAAACAATATTTCTTGTGGGTAATGTTTTGGGGGATCTAGGAGTGGCTGGGAAGGGTAAGAAATGAATATGATTGAAATACACTGCATGTAAGTATGAAATAAAAACACCCAAATTAATATTTGCTTCCATTTAGCTCTATAATTGTTTTATATACTATAACAGAAGTATCTCTAGAATATTGTTCTAAAATTTTTTTGTCACCTATATCCCTCTCTATATAGTAATTTGTGAATTATATGTGCTATTGTAGTTTAATTTTTTAAAGAAGATTTATTTATTTATTCATTTATTTATTATGCATACAGTGTTCTGATGCAGGTATATCGACAAGCCAGAAGAGGGCACTAGATCTCTTCCACACAGTTGTGAGCCACCCTGTGGGTGCTGGGAATTGAACTCAGGACCTCTGGAAGAGCAGCCAGTGCTCTTAACCTCTGAGCCATATCTCTAACCCCTGTAGTTTGAGTTCTTACATTTAAAAAGAAAATGAGTATAAGGAGAGGTTCTAGTAGATCTCAGTGGATGATCTTTGTCGACCTTATTTTTGATTTGAGGGCTTTGAGGAACTAGGAGACAAACATGGGGTAAGACTCTGACATCAACAAGGACTCTGTAAACCAGCAGGAGATGAGTGACCTGTTTCTGGTTTGGACACTATTACTAATGAGCCATAGGACAGAGACCTCATAACTTCAGCAGCTTAATGTCAGCACAGCACTGTCAACAGTTACTTACTTTTTTAAGAAATGCAGATGGTGCCAAGGTATCCAAGCCATTGTCTGTAGCACATAAATATGTGATTCCGCCAATAAAGAGCGTATGGTAGACGTAGCTTTGAAAAGAATGCATCTATTTTATACAAGCAGTCACCCTGGTATAAAAACTATATACATAATTTATATGTAGCTTTTGTTTTTGGGATAGGGCTTCACTATATAGTCCAGGCTGACTTTCTGTTTCACTGTGTATCCCAGGCTGACTTTCTGTTTCACTGTGTATCCCAGGCTGACTTTCTGTTTCACTGTGTATCCCAGGCTGACTTTCTGTTTCACTGTGTATCCCAGGCTGACTTTCTGTTTCACTGTGTAGCCCAGGCTGACTTTCTGTTTCACTGTGTATCCCAGGCTGACTTTCTGTTTCACTGTGTAGCCCAGGCTGACTTTCTGTTTCACTGTGTAGCCCAGGCTGACTTTCTGTTTCACTGTGTAGCCCAGGCTGACTTTTTACTTGTGCAGCCTATGTTGGCCTCAAATTTTTGACAGTGCTGCCTCTGGAGCGCTTGGGTTACAGGCATGTACTGTTGCACCTGGAAAGAAAGTGGTTTTTTAGTTTTTCAAGTTTCCAGCACTCGAGAGGCTGAGGCATGACAACTGCCTTGAGTTCAAGGCTAGCCTGGGTTACCCTGTCTCAAACAACAACAACAACAACAACAACAAAAACAACAACAACCACCTAAAATAAATGCCCTTGATTCACCCACCTGTTTCTTAACTAGTGTTTCAAGACTGGTTTAGAAAATATGTAATATCCCAAGTAAAATTTAATGGCAGTAATAGCTATTCTTACTGATATTACTAAATATGCTTTAAAGCAGAAGTTTTTTTCTGATGAATGAAGTGTTTTAGGTATCCCAGAAACACATGGAGAACAGGAGGACCCTCTTTTAGTCCCACTGCCGATACAGTGATGTCCCCTACACACCCTTCTTCAGCCGCATGCTCCTCCCTCTCCTCTGCACACGTAGCCATTGCGCCGACTTGGGCCCCTATCATTTCCATTCATGATGTTATATTTTCCTGCTTCCTGTGAGGCCAGGCAGTAGTGTGTACAATGACTGTTACTCTCCTCATACCATCACAGAAGCATTGGCTGGAATCATAATTATTAAGAGAAGACCCATGACAGAGTACACCTTACCTTCCTATTTGGATTATGGTCACTGGTTCTGCTTTCAGAAGCACCTGCCTAAGCACCTTTGCTGCTGCTTCCTAGGAAAAAAGGCAGCATTTATTTTGAGGAAGACTTTAGTGTCTTCAGTATTTGCCTCTTAAGATTACCAATGCTCTTACTGGCTTATTAAGAAAAACCCCTTTCCTAAGAGAAGTAATTGGTATGAGTCATGAGTGATAAGAGGCAAGATGCTATAAAATATTTGTATGAATTAAAAAGTTTGCAGGAATTAAAGGAAAAAACATGTACACATGTAAGTATACAAATATAGGCTGTGTTAGATAATCTTATCTTTATAGGCAGATCTAATGTTGGGTTTTAAGGCTGGGAAGCAGTAGCCAATCAAGTATCAGCTTTTTGTCCCCCTAGAGCTGAGGACTGAACCCAAGGCCTAGGCAAGTACTACCACTGAACTAAATCTCCAACCTTTCAAGTATCTTTCCAATGTCAGCTGATAAAAACTGTATGTCAAATGTTTTGGGACTGGAGAGATGGCTCAATTGTTAAAGCAAGAAGATCATAGTTCAGATCCCAGTGTTCATGTAAGAAGCAAGGAATGAGCTCAGGTATGTCCATATGTGTGGTGATATATTGTTTACGATTTATTAAAGTCACTGGAGATCAAAATAGTAAAGTAGCCACACCAGTTAGCTTTAGAAGCTAGGAGATGGTGGTGCACACCTTTAATCCCAGGACTCATGATTAAGAGGTACACAGATCTGTTAGCTCAAGGCCACACTAACTACACAAAATTGATTCAGTCCTAAAGGGAAACAGCTCACACAAAGATGATCTCAGTACTTGGAATCACACGCCTTTAATCCCAGCACTAGGGAGGTATATAAGACAGGAGCAGGGACTCAGAGCTGGCATCAGTCTGAGAGATAGTCTCCAGCCATGTTAAGGAGAGCATAGCAGTCTGAGTGAGTCTGAGGAGCAGTGCAATTGGGAGCAGTCTGAGGATCGCCCTTTGGACTGCTTTGCTTCTCTGGTCTTCAACTTGAGCTTGAACCCCAGTATCTGTCTCTGGGTCCTTTGTTAATATGCTATAATATGGGTGTTGGGGGGAGAAAAGGGGACCCCTATGGCTTGCTGGCTGCCAACCTGGCTGAAAAATGCAAACTCCGCTGGGCGGTGGTGGCGCACGCCTTTAATCCCAGCACTCGGGAGGCAGAGGCAGGTGGATCTCTGTGAGTTTGAGGCTGGGCTGGACCGATAGCCTCCAAAACAATACAGAGAAACCCTGTCTCGTAAAAACCAAAAAAAAAAAAAAATGCAAACTCCAAGTTCCGGGAGAGACCCTGCCTCAAAAGGAATATGGTGCAGTGATAGGACACCTGAGGTCTTCCTCTGGCCCCCCACACACATGTGAGCATACATCTCTCATACATACATTTGTACACACATACATACTCTTAGGCTATATGTGTATGAATACACTTGTGTGTATGTGACTACCACAGCATGTGTGTCAGAGACACACATGAGCTTCTGGGAATTCTCCTGCCTCTGTCTCCCATCTATGCAGAGATGTACCATGATTATAAATGTTTCTCAAGCTGTGTGTATGACTTTTACTTGAGTTTAGGGGATTTGAACCTGGAGTTTTGCATTTACATAGCAAGTGCTTTTATCTACCGAGACATCGTCTCTGTCCCATACTATAAATAAACTGTTAATGGATTACGAGCATTCATGTCTTATTCTCTGAATACATTTAGCAAACATCTATTCATGATTGTCCCCTTGATACTTAACAATTATTTACTATCTGGGTGCATCTGTGGGGTGCATCCAGTTACTCTGAGTGACTCTCATGCTGAGTTCAGTGGGCAACTTTTACGAGTTGGTTCTCTCCTTTTGCTTTTAGGTGGGTTCCAGGGATCTAATTCAGGTCATTGGGCTTGATGGCAAGTGCCATTACCCACTGAGCCATCTCCCCAGTCCTCCTCATCTCTCTTTAAAAACTAGTATTTGCCAAGAACTCTTGTAGCTGCCTATTTCTTACAAGGGTGGTTCCTTGGGGGGAGATCTAAGGTGCTATAATTATGCACAACACTTATAGTTCATTAAGTGGAACCCCATTATTTTACTTTAGAAGCATGAAAGGAATCTGAAAGTTGCCTAAGAAGCCCTAGATAGTCATACTCCTAATGAACTTTTTCTGTTTTTCACAAACTAACACTTAAAATAGAAACTGTTATGGATGGGTAAACCCTATTAATGGTAGAAAGTAATTGCTACTGCCTGAGATGTCAAGGTGACATTTTCTAGGACAGAATTTCCTAAGACACTTGAAAAATTAAAGGACTATAACATCTTCTGTTGCTTTCCTAATAGTAACGAGACACACTTCGATAGCTCCCCCCTTAAATGTTTCTTTTGTGTAATATAAACTATGATATCACAGCAAGACTGAAAACAAATAACAACATGAGACCGAGTATGTGACAAAGTGGGCTCTTGTGTTTGGAAGTTGGTATGCTGCAGAGTCGCTGATTTGCCTGGGTCTGTTTCCTTTTGGGAAGAATGATGACAGTGACTACATGACTTCCAGAGTTTGGCCTAACCTTGGAACCCTGTAACAGCAGTTGCTTGGCTCCTGGTATTAAGTTTGGTACTATTTTTTTTTCCAAATTAATAGTGTGTGTGAGAGAGAAGGGGGGAAGAGAGATAGATAGATAGAGAGAGGGAGGGAGTGGAGAGGGGGAGGGAGAGAGAGAGAAAGGGGGAGAGAGGGAGAGTGCCAAGGGAAGCCATGATATCATTTCTTTCCTTCTAAATCCTCACCGTCCCTTGAAGCCCTGTGCTGTATTTTGCCTTCTCTGGCAGGCTCTTTGCACAGCAGGCATTCCGCACCTGTAATTTACTCCTGGATTGCGGGCTGCCCCCTCTTCTGTGTTTTTACCTCCTGTGTGCATCAAAAGAGAGGCCACTTGACTGGTGGGTGACACCTCTCACTGCTCTCTAGTCCTGATAAGGCTTGCTGAGGACTTACCGTGCTAGGCTTTGGATTTGACTGGGGAGACAGAGATGAAGCATTCCCTGCCCTGAAATCTGACGGTAGAGACAGCAAGGGAAAGAAGATTCCAGTTCAACTGGGTTAAGTTGTTTGGTAGAGAGATGCCAGTTAGCCTAGGCATAGAAAAAGTGAGGAAACTCTCAAAGTACAAATGAGAGTCTACTGCCTCAAAGTGCAGAAAAGTGGTCTCCAGGCAGAGGGGAAGAAGTACAGAGGCGACCTGGGAGGTCGTGGTGAGAGAGTAGCATGGAGTTCAGGGTAGCAGTGGCCACGGCAGGAAGGAGGAGCCATGGAAAAGCTCATCCACTCAGGGAGGGGGCTGACTGCCAAGTGGAGGAGCGCTTGCTTTATTCTGAATGTATTCAGTGGCCACCAAACACGGTAAGCAGGAGAGTGGCACCTCTGTAGGGATTTTGGGGAATGACCATGTGAGTAGCAGTATGGAAGCAGCCTTGGAGGAAGACAAGTCAACAGGCATTTCTGTAAGTGTGGTGAGAAGTAATTAGGGCTGGCATGAAAACATGGTTCAAAATCCATAAATGAGTGAGGACATACCATGTTTGTCTTTTTGTGACTGGGTTACCTCACTCAGGATGGTTTCTTCTAGTGCCATCCACTTGCCTGCAAATTTCAAGATTCCATTGCTTTTTTTCTGCTGAGTAGTACTCCATTGTGTAAATGTACCACATTTTCTCTATCTACTCTTCAATTGAGGGGCATCTAGGTTGCTTCCAAATTCTGGCTATTACAAATAATGCTGCTACGAACATAGTTGAGCACACATCCTTGTTGTATGAATGTGCATCTTTTTGGTATATGCCTAAGAGTGGAATTGCTGGGTCTTGTTGTAGACTGAGTCCCATTTTCTTGAAGAATCTCCATACTGATTTCTAAAGTGGCTGTACAAGTCAGCACTCCTACCAGCAGTGGAGGTGTGTTCCCTTTCTCCACATCCTCTCCAGCATAAACTGTCGCTGGAGTTTTTTATTTTAGCCATTCTGATAGGAGTGAGATGGTATCTCAGAGTTGTTTTGATTTGGTCTCTTGGCCATTTTAGCCTCCTCTATTGAGAATTCTCTATTTAGTTCTGTACCCTGTTGGGGAAGTCCTGTGTATATGTCAATAAAGCACTGCTGGCCAATAGGAATCTAGATAGGTAGGGCTAGGAATCCAGGAGGATTCTGGGAAGGAGAAACACAGGAGAGTCAACATGTAACCACCATGGGGTAGGAGCCCGGAACTATTCTCCGGTAAGAGACATACTTAGATTAACAATTATGGGGTAATTACTTAAAGCAGAGCTAGCCAGTAAGAGACAAGCAAGGCCAACAGCTTCATAATTAATATAGCCTCCTGTGTGTTTATTTGGGACTGATGCGGATCTAGAACCAGGCGGGTGGGAAGGCTCTTCTCAAGGAAAGCTTCTCTTAACAGTACCCCACTTTTTGATTGTATCCTTTGGTGTTTTGGAGACTTGCTTCTTGTGTTCTTTGTAAATTTTGGAGATCAGCCCTCTGTCAGATGTGGGGTTAGTGAATATCTTTTCCCAATCTGTGGGTTGCCTTTTTGTCTTGCTGACTGTGTCCTTTGCCTTACAGAAGCTTCTCAGTTTCAGGAGGTCCCATTTATTAATTGTCAATCTTAGTGTCTGTGCTACTGGAGTTATGTTCAGGAAGCAGTCTCCTGTACCAATTCATTCAAGGGTGCCTCCCACTTTCTCTTCTAACAGTTTCAGTGTGGCTGGATTTATGTTGAGGTCTTTGATTCTTTTGGACTTAAGTTTTGTGCATGGCGATAGACATGGATATATCCACATTCTTCTACATGCCAGCCTCCAGTTATGCCAGCACCATTTATTGAAGATGCTTTCTTTTTTCCATTGTATATTTTTAGCTTCTTTGTCAAAGATCAGATGTTCATACATGTATGGGTTAATATTAGGGTGTTCAATTTGATTCCATTGGTCTACCTGTCTATTTTTGTGCCAATACCTAGCTGTTTTCAGGACTACAGCTCTATAATAGAGCTTGAAGTCAGGGATGGTGATGCCTCCAGACGTTGCCTTGTTGAACAGGGTTGTTTTGTCTATCCTGGGTCTTTTGTTTTTCCATACAAAGTTGATTATTGTTCTTTCAAGGTCTGTGAAGAATTGTGCTGGGATTTTAATAGGGACTGCGTTAAACTGTATATTGCTTTCAGTAAGATTGCCATTTTTACTGTGTTGATCCTACCTATCCAAGAACATGGGAGATCTTTCCACCTTCTGGTGTCTTCTTTAATTTCTTTCTTTCTTTCTTTCTTTTTTTTTTTTTTTTTTTTTTTGGTTTTTCGAGACAGGGTTTCCCTGTGTAGCTTTGGAGGCTGTCCTGGAACTAGCTCTGTAGACCAGGCTGGCCTCGAACTCACAGAGATCCGCCTGCCTCTGCCTCCTGAGTGCTGGGATTAAAGGCATGCGCCACCAACACCCGGCTAATTTCTTTCTTTAAAGACTCAAAGTTCTTGCTATACAGGTCTTTCACTTGTTTGGTTAGCATTACCCCAAGGTATTTTATGTTGTTTGTGGCTATCATAAAGGGTGATGTTTCTCTGATTTCTCTCTCAGCCCTTTTATCATCTGTATATAGTAGGGCTACTGATTTTCTTGAGTTAATCTTGTATCCTGCAACCAGGGGAGTGCCAGCATACAATCCCACTGCCAGAGAGTCTAGGAAACAGAACCTTCATCCAGCGACTGATGAAAGCAGAGGCAGAGCAAACACACACTGAACTGAACTCCTGGAATCCAGTGTCAGAAAGAGAGAACTGATGGGCAAAGGAGTTAAGACTGGGCTGGTTTAACCCACAGAAACAGCTGACCTGAACAAAGGGGAGCTCTTGGACCCCAGATTGATGGCTGTGTGGAAAGCATGGGACTGACCCAGGCCCCCTGAATGTGTGTGTCAGTGAGGAGGCCTAGGTAATCTATGGGGCCTTGGGTAGTATTTTTCCCTGGTGTGCAAATAGACTTTGAGTGCCTATGCCACAATATGGGAGGCTCTCTCAGCCTGAACTCTTGTGGGAGGGCCTAGGCCCTGCCCTGGATGAAATGACAGTCACTGGAGATCTACCATGGAGGGCCTCACCCTCCCTGGGGATTGGAGTGGAGATTGGGTGGGGGGCTGGGGCACCTGGTGGGGAGGGGGGTAGGAGGGGAGGGAGAGAGAGAGGGAGCTGGAATGACATGTGAAACAAGATTGTTTCTAACCTAAATAAAAAAATAATTAAAAAAAAACATGGTTCAGAGAGAGATAGGCCATAGAGGTGACAGTTGTGAAGGTAAAAATGAGAGAAGACGGAGGGTGGCTCCCAATTCCCACCCGGAGTGTCTCATTAGGGAAACTCAACAAGATCGGAAACATGCAGAAATAAGGCAGAAAAATAAACAAGGTGTTGAAATTTTAACAAGCATCACAATTCACCATGTTCCAAACTGCAATGTAGCCTTCCATCTGTATTCCCTTTGAGTCCCCTAAATCCTATTCTTATATATATATATTCTCTAGTGTTTAATGCCACCAAAGAAAAGCATTGTGAGAATCGTCCTATGCAGTTATACCCCTCGTTCTAGAGTCTACCAGATGTCAACGCTAGAGGGCGTTTACCAAGTTTCTTCTGGATCTGCTTGTTCTTTTACACCAAGTACCAAGGTTGCCTTAGCTCAGAGCCTTAGAGTTTATTTATAAACTATAACCATGTCATTTAAATGGGCTGTTTCTCTTCCAACCCACGCACGCACGCGCACACACATGCACACGCCTTTATTTTCCTCTGCCAGCTTTCCGGTCTCACCTCTAGCCACTACGAAGACTTTGTGCCCTAGCCACAATGAGGTTCTTGGAACTCTCCAAACACGCACTGCCGTCCCTGGGGCATCTTTAACCCCTTTCCTGTATTAGGCTAGGAGTAGTTCTCGGTACAGGGGCATTACAGCCTATGTCCAGCGAAACACTTAATCCTCCCGGACAGCTGTTTGGATCTCAGGGCCAGATACAATATTAGATGACATCTGAAAGTTTTAGGCGAGGTGTGTGTGTGCGTGCGCGCGCACCCGGGCGTGCTGGGGACATAGTCTAGGTAAGAGCTCTAACACTGCGCTACACTCTGCGCTCTCCCTTTTTTTGAGCCCGAGCCTGTCTCTGAAGTCCACTCTGACCTGAAATTCATGGTCCTCCCATCCCCGAGTGCTGGGATCCCAAGCTGCTGTCAGGGTGGCCCTCGCTTTCTTTACTCTGGGGTTCTGCATCTACTACGTGTTCAGCAAGTGGACTGCGGAGACTGAGGGTTATTTCTGGGCGGAGAAAACCAGGTTGGAGGCAGCGGCCCGGGAGCAGTACCAGTCCTAACCCCCCACGGAGGGGATAGCGGTGGCCCCGCACACGCGGCTCCCGCCGACCGGCACGCGCTTCTGGCCGGGGCGGGGCCTCCCGAGCGCAGAGCCCTTCGGGGAGGGGAGCCCCGGGGGGCGACAGCCTCGAGGAGCCGAACCCGCAGGTACCTGATAGGAGCCGCCGGTCAGGGCCAGCTCGGCCAGGACCGCTCGGCCATTAGCAACGCAGCTGTAGGTGATCGTCATAGCCGGCGGCCAGTGAGAGAAGGGGCTCGCCTCTTCCAACCGCTCGCCGCAGCCTGAGCACGGCTCTGCGCAGGCGCGAGGAGCGATTGATTGGCAGGGGAGGAGGCGGGACCACCTGTGGGTCCGGGCGAGCCTGTGAGCGGGCAAGCGAGGTCAGAGAAACTGCTGTGGGTTACAGAGGTCTCTGACCCCGTGGTGGCCCGTAAAACCATCTAAGAGCTGTTTAACTGCCCGGGCACAATCTAGGACGCGGGGAATGAAGCCTGGCTTCATTTAACTCTGGCTACGGAGCTGGGAATCTTCCACGGAGATCTGAGTTGGGATCCCTAGAACCCACGTTAAAATATATAAGAAAAAAAGAAAAAGAAAAGAAAAGAAAAAGGCATGGCGGCTGGAGCGTGCATCCCCTTGTAAGAGTGGGAGTGCAGGAAACAGGTGGATCTTTGAAATTCGTTAGCCTACATGAATTGATAAGCTTCAGGGCCAGTGAGTCTTGGTATCAAAAAATGTGGAGAACCACCTTGAAGATGTCTCAACATGTGAATGTAAATCTCTCTGTCCGTGTGTCCCCCCCCTCCCCTCCCCCCCGCCACGCATGCTAGTGCCAGCATTTCCCGGGTTCGGCACCAAATGTAAGCATTTAGGATGGGTCGGGGTAGGAGGAACAGGAGTCAGGTATTCTGACACTCGGGAGCCAAGGATACTGAGTGTTAAACAGCTCAGATGGAAAGGTATCCTGGAGCTCTGAAGCCAAGGACCACCACAGGTTGCCGTAAGCTTAGCAGCTTACAGCCTTGCCTCAGAGAAAGGCTTCCCCCGGTGTATCAGCTCCGCTCCTGCAGGACAGGGTCTTCTACCTGGGGATGTTTGCCTAGTGTAGCAGTTTGAACTGTAGCGAAGTTGCTACAGTTCAGCTCTGCTCCTGGAGAGCAGGGAGCTCTGCCAAGGGAAGGTTTCCTCTGCTCTGCTCTGCTCTGCCCAGGGTGGCCTCTGCTCCATTGCTGCCACAAAAGATCTTCACCCAAAGTTCATTGAAGGGGTTTATTGGAAGGGAAGAATCCGGCAGAGGACAGCCGGGTAGCGGGAACAGATATAAGCTGAACAGACACAGGGTTTATATGGGGCTTCCAGGATGGGGATTGGTCAGATTTTAGTGCTGAGCTCAGATTGGCTAGAGCTCTGCTCAGGGATTGGTAGTTTTCTGCACAGGATTAGGGTCAGATTTGGCTCTGGTTTCAAAGCCAAAGTGTGTTTCTTTCTCTGGTCCTTTTTGCCTTTTGGCTCCAATTTTAGGGCCAGGGTGCATTTCTTTCGCTGACTCTGATTCCAGGGACAAAGTGTGTTCCTTTGGCACTGGTTTCAGGGTCAGGGTACATTTCTTTAGTTCTGGTTACAGGGCCAAAGTGTGTTTCTTTGGCTCTGCTCAGGGTGTGTTTCTTTGACTGGTCCCTTTTCCCTACACACACTGCTAAATTTAGCAAGCATCGATGGAACGTTTTGTGTACAGCCTGCCTTTGGGGGCATGAAGGTCGTCTCTGAGCTGTTCTAGAACTGTTCACAGAAAATCATATCCTGGATTATTGCTAGTCTCCAGCGATCTGTGCGTGCAGTGGCACAAACGTTCACGGCACTGAAGGGAACACTTCCACGCAGTGGTTCTCAACCTGTGGGTTGCGATCCTTCTGACAAATCTGTATCTCTAAAATTATTTGCATTGTAATTCTTAACAGCAAAATTCTGGCGGGGGCGGGGCTGGGGGGTGGTCACCATAACACAAGGAACTGTATTAATGTCAAATGGTCGCAGCGTTAGGAAGGTTGAGATCCACTGGCATAGAGGGTGTTGTCTTTTCCCAGGTGTGGGAAAAGAAAGGATGTTTAAGTGGATGGACTCTGTAAAAGGCAGTGGTTTTGGGGAATGGATATTTGTCAGATGGCAGAGAAAAAGAAAATTCTGAGAGAAAAGGTGAGTGGGAGTACTCTTTCCTTCACTGCGTAAAACTTTTCCGAGACTCAGTGTCCTAATCTATATAATGGGGGCGACTTTAAATGAAGCATTGTTGAAACATACCAGCATACATTGGATACTGTATTGCAGCATTCTGGCTTGTGATATGTACATTAATGATAATTCCTTTTTTATTTTTGAGAATTTCAGTATGTGTCCAATGAAATGTGACCATTTCCTCACTCAAACTCTCCCTGTATCTCCCTCAACACATCCCCCTTCAAACTTCTTATTTTTGCACTAAGTCCAGCTAGTGGTCCCTTGTGTGCATGGGTGTGGGGCCATAAACTGGCATGGCTGAGTCCTATCGGAGCCTACATACATAAAATAGGAGGATTCACTTTCCCTGGAAACACTCTACTGCCATTAGCTCCCCAGTAAAGGGGGAAAGGACGTCTTGAGGCCATCTGTCCAATCTATGCCAGAATTTTGGCTGGCTTGATCTTGTGCAGCTAATGCTATCCACTGTGAGTTCATGAGTATAATAGCTATGGCATGTCCAGAGGACAGCACTCATGACATCTCCCATCTTTCTGCTCTCACGTTCCCTTTTCCTCCCTTCTCTGCTCTGTGATATTCTTTGGAGAGAGATTGCTATAGATGTCTGGTTTAGTGCTGAACACTCCCATCTCTTACTCTCATTTATGTATCTCTCCACTGATTCCTGCCTGTTGCAAAGAGAACATTCTCTGATCAAGGTTAAGAACAGCCCAAGTCTACAGGTATGAACTCAAACATCTAGAAGGCATTTTTAGAGCATGACCATTTAGTAAAGTAACAATAGTAGTTTCTATCCTAGAGCCTATGACTTCCCTACATGGACTTTAGACAGGATTATACTACTAGGCATGAAATTCTCACCTGTAGATAGAATTAAGCAAATGAAAAGTTGGGTAGCTACCCCATAGCCGTCATCCACTGTTGCAGCAGTAGGCAAAGCTTACCTGGTAGGCCAAAATTACAGCATCCGAGGCCTTTGCCCTTGTAGCTGCTTATGTGGGACCTTCAAGCTCTGTGAGAGCTAGCCAGCAGGGAGGAAGTTTCATGGTCAGTTTGTGATTGATTTCTCTATGTCCTGCAGCCAAATGTGCAGCGTTTTCAGCAGTAGGCTCTTACCATGTAGGATGGTAGATAGTCAAGGACAGTGGCAACAGCTTGTGTTGATTTGAGCCCTGTAGGGCCTCCCTGGCCTCTAATTTCTAAGGAGTACCCCCTGCCTTTATAGTGTGCTTTCATTGTGAATACATTAGTCAAATTTCATGAAAGCATGAAATATGTATATATACATATGTATATATATATAATATTTCAAATGGAATTGCCTTGCGTGGATAGAGATGTGGTTTTCTGTATTGGTCTCTGTTACAAAGACACATTTCCTTGGTGAGAGGTGAAGACTACACTTACCTATGGGTATCAGGACAAATGCTTGTAGATTGTTATAGGGATTATGATGATTTAGTAAATTAGAGGTTGAAGATTCTCCTTCAATAACCATGACTTCACTAGCACTAAGTGGATAGCTAAAGTTTCAGCACCAGACATATTTTCTCTTTTGTTGAGTGGGTCTTAATTCCAATTAGACAGCTGTTGGACATTGCCAAGATATGCATGCCACTACTGCACTTTTAGGGTTGTCTTGCCATTCTGGGCACTGATGTGGTTTGTAGGCATCATATCTGTGTAGGACTACTGGTTGCCTCCCTCCTTTGGAAGCTTTCATAGTGCCTTCTGGTGCCACGGAAGCTAGTTCTCAGAGAGTAGGATCGGGTCTGCTCCAGCTCAGGGGTCTCTGCGCTCTGAGTACACGGTGTCTTCATCAGCCAGCTTTCTTACATACCCCTGGACCTCCTTCCCAGGAAATGGTGCCACCCACAGTGGTCTGGACCTTCCTACATCAGTTGTCAATCAAGAAAACCCCTCATAGACATTCCTACAGACAAATCTGATAATCAATTGAAACTCTTTTTTTTTTCCAGGAAATTCTAGGCTATGCAAGTTGACAGTGTAAGCTATGACATCCACCCATTTCCTCGTATCCTCCCCTCCCCTCCCCTCCCCTCCCCTCCCCTCCCCTCCCCTCCCCTATATCCTGTCCTGTCCCATCCCATCCTATCCTATCCTAGCCCAGCTTACTCCTTTAACTCCCCAGTAATCCTCCCTCTTTTAAAAATTTGTATGTGTTGGGCTGGAGAGGTGGCTCAGAGGTTAAGAGCACTATCTGCTCTTCCAGAGGACCTGAGTTCAATTCCCAGCAACCACATGGTGGCTCACAACCATCTGTAATGAGATCCGGTGCCCTCTTCTGGCATCCAAGCAGAACAGTGTATGAATGATAAATAAATAAATAAATCTTTAAAAAAATTTGTATGTGTTCTACTATAACTCCAATTTTTAAAAATTGGTTTGTTGGGCTGGAGAGATGGCTCAGCAGTTAAGAGTACTGGCTGCTCTTCCAGAGGTTCTGAGATCAATTCTCAGCAACCACTTGGTAGCACAAAACCACCTGTAATAAGATCTTGTGCCCTTTTCTGGCCTGCAGGCATGCATGCAGGCAGAACACTGTATACATAGTAAATAAATAAATCTTTAAAAAATTGGCTTGTTTGATAGGCTCCCATATGGTTTTCATGTACTTTTCCTTTGACTTAGCCTTTCCATATTAGGGTTTTTATGCTGTGATGAGACACCATGGCCAAAGTAACCAGGGGAGGAAATGGTTTATTTTCCCTTACAGCTTGTCGTCCATCATCCAGGGAAGTCAGAGCAGGAATGGAAGGCAGAAACCCAGGAGAAAGAACTGATGGAGAGGCCTTGGTGGAGTGCTGCTTAGGAGCTTGCTCCTGTGGCATGCTTACCTGTTAATCCCACCAAATGATAGTAAAGACCACCAACCCAAAATTACTGGTCAGATTAAGCAAGCTTTATTTTCTGCCAGACAGTGCTATTTCCCTAAAGAAGAGTTTGGGCAAATAGCATTAAATGCAGGAGAAACTGAGGTGTATATAGCTCAAAATCGGAAAGACTAGGGGGTTTCCAAGGGTTTTTGGTTACATAGGAACTTGGCAGAACA